GGGGGGGGGGGGGGGGGGGGGGTGCCTCTGCCCTGTTCTTTTAACAGAATTTGCATCCATTTATTTATGTACCTAAATTATTAAAAATTATTCCATGTTTTCATTCCAGAAATCAGCAAATGTCATAATTCATGCCACTAAACATATCTGAGCTGCTAATTGTTGCCTGATTCAAAGAAGCCAGCTCTGAACAGACACATGGAAAGTTGGGGGGAGGGTTCCCCCATAAGTATAACCCTTATGTATGTCCAACAACCTCTTACCCAAAGCTTTAAAAGGAGTCCACTTGAGTTGGGCAGCCAATAAATTTAAATAAATGAATAAATAAATAAATAAATGGGACTGAATACATTACTGAGATTGGTCCTACTGAAAGGAAGAAATCACAGTAACCTTGGGCACAGAAGCCTGCAGCATACAGACCCTCTGCCTGCATCATAGATCTCCTTCTGCGGACCATGGACCCTTCCTTTCACTCAGCCCCGCTACTTCCTCATAAGCAGCCAACAAGTCACATCCCTGCAGAAACTAAAGACCATGCTCTTGTCTACTTAAAGTATCAAAGCGTTGTGAAAGCAGTGGCTAATATTTATGATTTCCCTGGGAGAGGTCATCTTGGATAGCTGCTCATAAACATTTGCAGTTCAGATGCTATTCTTCTCTCTCTCCCTTCGATCAAAAACATTTTCCATGACTATAACGGTTCCAATGACTAAACGACACCTTTCCCCATATTATTCAAGGTTAAGCTCTAAAAGGTCATTGAAAACAGCTCATTTAGTGGCTAGTTTGCTGCTTATTACACTCACACTGAGCAGATTTGGGGGCTGTTCAAAGGAAGGTCGACAATGTTTTAAATTCCAAAATAACTTTGGGTTCAACCAAGCTCTGGGGAGAAACATTCATTTTCTCTTTGCTAATTAAGAAATGACAGAGATTTTTCTTACCTGCACATTATTTCATGAGTGAGCAGAACTCTGCACATTTCTGGATTCTTGTCTTGGCCTTCATATACTATCGCCTAGAAGAAAAAGACAGGGGAATTTTATCTAAATATTATTTTTTTAGTCTCAATGTGAATGTGGTTGGAGAAAATTATCACCGTCACAGTACATGAATGCATAACTATTCTGCAAACCGGCAACTTTGACTTAAACAGACTGCATCCTTAGGGAGAAAAAAACACAAAAACCCTGTCTCAAGATTTGTTGCTAGAGAGCCCAGAAGCTGAGCTGCGTAAGCTTCAGTTCAGCATTCTCACTTCTGTTTTAACCGTCACATTATGCACATCTTCTGGGTAGTGCATAAGACAGGCTTTTTTAGTAGTCAAGACAACCACAATGTTCTTTTCAATAAAACATAAACTTAATAGTGTTAAAAAAAAACTCGAAAGACTCAGAACACTAGGGAGACTATTCATAAAATGAAAAGTGACTATATTTTTAATTCAAAAAGCATGGTTGTGTAAACTAGCTACAGCTTGTGTACAGAACCTGATTCACAACTCCAGTCTGGTTAAATGTGCTAACAAATTAAAGGAGACTACATTCCGATAAATGCAAATAAACAAGTTCTAGAAAACAAGAGGATAAGGCAGGATAGGCCTTCCAGTATCTTATAGTCCTTGTCAATATAAAGATCTTTCTACACTAAGATTTTAGATAGATAGGTAAGGATGGAACTATATCTTGCTTATGTTCACAGAGCATGAATCAGCCAATCATGTTTGAACCTTTTGTGTTATGCAAACCCAGACTATCTGGTTAGTTTATTATTCAGTGTGTGGGACAAACCCAGAAAACTGGGTTGAGTAAATTATGGTTCAGTTAAGCATGGATAACTGTGTTGGGCAACACAAAAAGAAACCCATCAGCACAAGTTTGACAGTTGGTAGAAATGTGGTATTGAAGGAAATGTATCAAGAGAATTTTAGCGTGGGAATAGGCTTCCACACTAAACTACAATGATCCAGAATGATGAAACATATGTTTGTGATGTCGCAATGTAAGTTCTCTTCTGTGTAACAACATCACAATGCACGTTTTATCACTTTGGGCTATTTAATGTCTCTATTAATACATCCAACAAAACTAGGAATCTTCAGAATCCTGACTTAGCAGTTTGGGAGAGGACCCTATTCCAATAGCTCCTACTGATATCTCTCACCACTGAGCATAGCTAACAAAGACAGGCCACTCCTTCCATGCTTTGGTGATTGTCTTGGATAAACCAGTCAAGAACAGACTGTCACTGGACTACAGTTTGCTCTGAGAGGAGTGAACCAGAGTCCCTGGTTCAAATGATACAAACACCGTCCCCCAGAACTACGTGTGCTTCGCATGTTACACCTCTGCTCTGCAAGCTGCATTGGTTGCAACTATGTTTGTTAGCTGTACTCACTTGCAGGCAAAGTCAGAAGGGATAAACAGAACAGTAGGCCCCCTTCTAAACTTAAGAATTCTGTTTTAGTGTGATTGTGTGAACACAGCCATAGTGGCCACAGTGCAAAGATACTGCGGTATGTAGTTGCGTGCTTTGGCTGAGTCTGAAATGCGAGCTCACCCATTGGGACTTAGCACTGTGTGAGAACCAGCCATTATGGGTCTGTTCAGTACACTGTGGCTTAAAAACTCCTAGCTTAGAGTTACATGTAAACCAACCCACAATGCAAAACTGGAGTTTTTTCCTAAATTCAGATGTGATGAAAGTTAAAGCTTCCCCCTGCAGTCTTCTATATTAAGCCAGTGGAAGACAGAGGGTTGGATTCTATGATTCTATATGGACATACAGGAATAGCCTGTAAACATTTCAAAAAAAGAAGTTGTTTAGCCAAGTGCAGTTTTTCCAGTGACAATGCCACTCTACTAACTAGTCTACATGACAACCACAGATTCTTTATAAGCACCTAGAATATACACAACTCTGATCCATAGCATGGCTCTGTACACAACTGGAAAACAGACTGTTTTGTCCGTGGGCTGGGGAGGGAGAAATCTTCCTGGCAGCACCCACCTCCTCCCTATTTGTTCTGCAACTACCAGCAAGCCCAAAAGCGCACGGGCCTTCTCTTCACCCAATAATTGCCAACCAAACTGCCAATAAAGAAACAAAGGCAAGGGACAGGGCACCCATTGGCCAAGCGAAAGAAAAAGGCCATTCTGCTGAAATCTCTAACAAGCAATTTATTGAGGTCCAATAAAAGTGGCAAATAGCTTCATGCAGGGAACACTGCTGTGCAGAGGCAGGTATTTTTGCAGGACTGAAGACCACATTTGCAATACTTAACCTTTCTTGCCATCTTGCTACCGTGTTAAAAGTCGACCATTAGTGAGCGCCTTTTACTAGGATGAGCAGTTGCACTGGAGGGCAGGGCTCCTGTGTTTTTCTTTATTAGCATTCCCGAAGTTTGTCATACCAGAGGAGGAAAAGGGGCCTCTTCTCAAATTCCCTCCTCCTCTAGACATCAGATGAAGGAATATAGTCCTTCTTGTCTGGTTTTATGTCACCCAGTCTTTCACAAATCACATATTATCAAATTCCAAATCCTTCCTAATTTGCCCACAGCCCTTATGTCAAAAGAAAGAGGTGACTCTTTAAGGTGACTTAAAGTGTTGGTTTCTCTTAGCTTATTTTTAATGCCTGCACCATAAATGCAATAACATTTCTAGATCTCCAAAACACTTCTGGAATCACTTTATTGCCTGTGCCGTGTTTCCGTACAATGTAAAGCTAGACAAAATGCCTCTTCCATCAACCCAAAATCCTGTTCTCCAAATAGTTCTCTTTCTTATATCAATTTTTAAATTAGTTACCCTGCCTGAGAACTTGGTCCATTCAAGAGTTCAAGGGTGAATAATCCTCAAGGAGCCTATTCTTTCAAAATTCATCTAAACCCTTTTTTTCCTTCTAACACACAGTAAGGGTTTGGGAAGCTTCATCTCTCTGTGTGCTTACATTCAGGAGTTCTACAGATCAGTATGGCTAGCGCTGGAGTTAGCACCATGCTCCTGATTGCACTCAGCAATAAGACGCTTCTATAATATCGGACGCCAACAGCATCAGTCCTGTTTGGCACATCCTTGTTAAAGGAATAGAAGATCAAAATTCTGCTTTTCAAACCAATGCCTCTGGTTATGGCCTCTTTAACATAAACAATCAATAAAACCCTCTAATATGTGTGGAGGTGGGGGGTAGGGCTAAATTTAAACAGCCTTGGCCAACAAGCAGAAGCATCACATAACCCATAAAATGAGGTAATTTGGCACAGCTGTGACTTTGCCGTTGAAAATGCTGCCCACTGAAGGCAATAGGAAAGGGGGGGGGGGTGCCGGCACAGCAGTCATGAATCTCAGCCAGCGAAAGTAATTGCTTAAACATAGTATTATCACACTCCAGCACAGTACACTATATTTTAATATGATTTAGTAGTGCCATAAATAATATCATTGATGTTGCTGTAGTTTTCTACAGCATTGGATGCCAACATTACTTTTTGAAAAGAAAAACTCAGACATAGCCTATACGGCAGAGCGCTTGAGTGCTTAAAGATATCAGTTATGTAATTCTCTATACAGCTCCTCCCAACCTTAAATGTGGTTTGGGGTGGCCCAATATTCCATGCAGTTCATTCAATTATCAGTGTACTTAGTACTTCTTGAAACTTGCAACAGTCCCTGCAATCTACTTGGGCTGGCTTGGAGATTCTAGCAGGGGAGCACAGGGTCAACTCGCCATTCAGGAGTAAATGGGAAAAGTCATGGCTTTGAAAGTGGGCTCTGCTCAGAATTCCTCACATCATGAAAGCAAATGCTTGTTGAACAAGTAAGATCACATATGGAAGCAGAACTAATTTGAGATGCTTTCAATTGAACAAGAGGCCACCATTACAGCCTCTTCTGTGACCTGCCCAGTGTTGGCAGAGGTGCTTACTGACTTCCTGACATTAGATCCTGAGGTTCAATGTGTTCATGGTGATCCTGCGACTGCTTGCAGGGGTGGGACTTCTGAGGTACAGCCAAAAGTATGTGTGTAGAGATGTCGGAATGCTTGTACACTCTAACGATACATTGGAACACCTCTAAATAAAGGAGAAACATCTGGGTAGATGCTGAAGAGCATAAAGTTCTGGATCCGGAGCATGACATGTAAATAAGTCCTATGAAAAATCTAGGAACTAGTTTCTACATAATGTGTTTGAGATTGGTACTTTAATCACTAAACAAGAATACTGTTTTTGTAAGATAACAATCATATCACTTTTTGTAAGATAACAATCATATCACTTTTCTCATGCAAACAGGGAAATCTGACAGACTTTAGCCAATCATTAAACGCTATGTGCAGAATTGGACCCTAGCAAATAGCAAATCATATTTGCCTAGAGAACTTAATTCAACACATTTTCTATTCCAGTCACTGGAAACTCTTTGATTATAATTGACTATGCCCTGTATCTTTAAAATACACTGGGATCCTTTAGAGGTTGTTGCAGTCAGAAAAAGGATGAGAAAGAGAAGGGGGGGGG